AAAACGTCTACGAGGCTGCCTATGAGGTTTAAAGTTAGGCTTAGTTGGTAACCTATGTTCCACCAAGTCTCTATCTAAACCAGACATTTGTTCATATTCCCAAGCAAAACAATCTTTGTACTCTTTTAGTAAAGCGATTAACTTGTTACTAACCTCTTGGCCGAGCATTTGGCTGATGAATGTTGGACGATCTTCTCCTTCATTGCCAATATTTACTTTGATCAGAGGGTCTTGTACTTGAGCGTATCTAGGTTTTGCGATCCGCATTACTTCGTCGTCCAGTTCCCTTGTAAGTATTTCCTCTTCTAAACAGTCCACCTTGTTGACTTCTCGGCCAATGCTTTGCTCTAACTCGAATACTGCCAATTTGTCCTTCAGCGCTTTTAGGGCAGTCTCTTCCTTCGCCTTGTCATTGCATTCCTTATTGAAAGCCATCAGCCTGGCTTTGAAGGCCTGAATGTCGGCCATTTGCTTTCGTAACTCAGAATCCATTCAAGATTCTTTGATTATTCTTTTGCCAATCACTGGCTCTTCTAGGGCCACTATATTTGGCCTCATCTGTTTAAACATCTCAGTGAGTGCGTCCACTGAGAACGGTTCTTCACTTTGCGCGACAACCTGAGTTTCTTCTCCGTCTTGTACTACCCTGATAGGTCCATAGTTTCCTTCGTACATGAACTTTTCCACTGAGTTTACTTCTGCAACAAAAGGCCTATGATCGGCCTGTACCACCTCTGCTTTGCCTTTGTCATTCCAAAAGATCAAGCATTGATGGAGCGATAAGGGTATACAGGGACTTTCGTGTATCCAATCTCTTCCTATTAGCACGTTGTAACTAGTAGGACCGTCTATTATAAAGAAAACAGTGGTCCTAGTAGTTGTCCCTATAGTTATGTCCAATGGCATAACTCCCTTAGCCGAAATTGCTCCTCCATTGAAGCTAGTGAGGATGACTTCTGTAGAAATCATGTCACTCTCTGTCTTTGCGAACTTCCTCATCATCCTAGATGGAATGGTGTTTATAGCTGCTCCATTGTCGACAAGCACTTTTGCCACTGGGACGCCGTTAACTAGAGCTTTAACGTATAATGGCCCCAAGTGTTTAGTCAACTTCATGGCTGGCCGTTTAAAAATAACCTTTTCGGCAGCCTCTATTTCCACTTCCTGCTTGTTTTCTGCCGAATTATCCCCCTGTGATAAGTCGACGTGCAGTATATCACGCTGATCCTCTGTCTCCTGAACTTCCTTCCTACTTCTTTCTAATGCTTCCTCATCAGTTACCCAACCTGTTGGAGGGGGCATTATTCTTGGAGGTGACCCATACTTTTCAGAGCGAGACACTCTCTTCTTCCTTTTAGGTGTCCCGTACAGTACGTAGAAATCGAAAGGACGCCCAAATGGCTCCCCCAACAAGTCTACTTCGCGAACTCCCTCTTGATGTAGTTGCTTAAACAAAGTATTGCACGATACTCCTCTCTTTCTTCTTTCTGCTTCTAGGTCGATTTCTTCTTCAATGTCTGTCATCCCGTCATCCTCTTCATCGTTATAGGCCTCTCCAGAAGTCTGGCCTTCTTCACATACCAGCACGCAGGCTTCTCCTTCGTTGTCCTCCCTCTCTTCTTCATTTTCTTTATTCTTGAATTCGTTGGCCAGTAGGTAATTATTGGCCACGACAGGAGGTAACGTACCGAATTGGATAGCAAGGGGCTGATCTGGATCTTCTTCATCCCTTTTGTCTCGCTCAAACCTTGATCTCTCAGTAGAGGTTTCTGGCAGTTCCTTCATTGATTCATCTGTACCAGTCTCTTTACTACCTTTGAGGATGTTTTGATTTGCTACCTTAAGTAGTTTAGGCGCTTTAGGATGTGGCACTCCCTCTTGCTGCCTCATCATCCGTCCGTAGTTTCGTTGAAAACGCCTTTGTTGTGTCCTAGTCATCTCATCGAAGGGTATTGCCCTTCCTGCATTGTACTGGAATGAATGCCATACATTTGGCCGGCGAGATTGCGGCCTGAATGTTCTTCCATTCTCTGCTGGCCTAAACTGCCTCTCAAAAGGCGGTCCTCTATAGAATGATGTACCTAGCCCTCTACTAGGCTGAGTGTTTGGAAAGAATGTAGGGCGATAAGGATACTGCCATGTCCCTAGTTTTTTCGTATTTCCATTCACTTTTCTTTTACACCTTGCACACAGGACGTCTTCGTCCTTTTTTGGTTCTTTCCCCTTGATTCGTTCGAGGACACTGGGATGTGTTTTAGTATCCTCTTCTCCATCATCTATTACCAACTTGAATTTTGGCAACTTTTTTTGAATCCAGATGTCACCATGTTTACTCCAAGTGGCTGTGGGAAAGGATTCTCGTCTACTGCCATGTTTTTCTTATCATCGAACGTAATTCGTCCTTATTCAATGGCATCCTGCAATACATGACGGAAAACCAAGCAATTGTTAGTCAAATGTGACCATGCATTATGTCACTTACAATATTTTTTACTCTTAATTTGTTCAGGGTTTGGCAATTTGTGCTTATCGCTCAACTTTATCTGCTTATCCCTATATAATTTATCGAATATAAGGTCAGCTTTGGTCACGTCGAACGAGAACGTTCTAACCTTTATGTTTCCATCTTTTATGGGCTCATCTTTGCCCGATGGTCTGGGCTTGGCCATTATGGGACAAGTATATGTATCCCCTTTGACCAATTCGACCAAACACATTTCGGCCTGATCGTATAACTCGTCGTCGATGGTATGAGCGTCAAAATTTGGGTCTTTGTAATAAGTCCCTTTACTAGAATTTTTCATTTGTTCTTCCTCTCTTATCAGTCGCTCATACCTAATCACATTCGCACTTAACTGAAAAAGGTCAGGAAATTCCTTGTCCTGGAACTTCTTTTTTAAATTAAAGCTCAAGCAGCCCTGAGCGATCTTGACAAATTCTTTTTCGGGCAGAGGTACAAAACACTTGCTTCTTGCTGTCTTGAACCTTTGGAGAAAACTTTCTACCCATTCGTTTGGCATTTGACGTAGATTCGCCAAATCAGCCAAAGTGATTTCAGACTCAGTTTTATAAAACTGAGCGTGAAACAACTGTTCCAGTTGTTGCTATGTTTGAACAGAGTTCGCTGGCAAGTTGATGAACCAGGAGAAAGCTACTCCTGTTAACGAACTAGGGAAAAGTCTCATTTTATGGTAATCAGTTACATCACCACTTTGCAATGTGAATCGCCCTATGTGTTCTAGAGTAGACACCTCTCTTAAACCGGTAAACAGTGAGAATTCTGGCACTTTGTACCCTCTAGGCCATGGATATGCTTGGTCTACCCAATTAGGATATGGCTTTGTGTACGTCGGCCTAATGATAGGACGCATCCCAAAAGCCATCTGATCCTGTACGATTTCCATAATCTGGTTCCTCAACATGACGTTGGGGTCATATGGAATTCCTACAGGTTGGTTAACCGGTTGATTTGCATGAGGCCTGATGTTTGGTACTTGATTGACAACAAAATTACCATGATTAGGGCCATTACTGTTAGTCTGAACATCTATTCCCTCATTAACGCGTGGAATATTCTGTCCATTATTTAGGACATTATCTCTCACGTTTGGATTACCCCCCAAGTTAGGCGTACTACTACCATTATTCTGATTTGGCACTGCAGTACCCCCTTGGTTTGAAGTAGAGGGACCAGAAAGCGGTTCTACCCCTTGATTCGGATTTAGGACAGAGGGATTATATCCCACAATTGTCCTAGTTTGAAAGTGGTTTGTAAGAGGTATAGCCGGTTGACATACTTGGCCTACTAACTTATTCATTGTTTCGTTTAACGTTTTTAGTTGTTTGGCTATGTTGTCATAGTGTGCATTCCCATTTTGGGTAAATCTCTCCATATTATGAATACTTCAAAGATTTACCTGTTCAACGACGTCCTGTGTGAGTTCTCCAAGTAATGCACGCATGGTTCGAGGACTCAACTCCGTCATTGGTTCGTAACGACTGTTACTGCTCTGATTCTGTCCATCTGTTCGTGGAGAGGCATGCTGCTCCTCATATCGCTCGATCACAGACTAGATTCCTCCTTGACTTGCTCCTTTCTTGTCGGATCTCTGAGGCATATTGTTTCACCTTTTGTACTTTCAACACCTAACACCACTGTCCCACTGGGCGTGCCAAATTGTTTCGCGCGGGTTAGTCGCTAACAATTAAAAAGGATCAGATGATTGTGTAAGGGACAAAATCTCTTGAGACAAAGTCCCAAAAAGGGGTGTTCTTTTATTGGCGATGAATTTTACAATTGGAAATGAAAAACAACGTGCCTCCAAGGGGCGCAAGCACACGAGTTATTGAAAGAAAAGTGTTTAAGTCTAAAAACTAAGGAAATGAAAATTACATGTTCTCTATTCGAGAGTTTTGGATTCGGTCCTTTGCTTCTATGTCCTTTGCTTCTATGTCATTTCTTCCTTTTATACTTCGTGGACGATTTCTTTGTGATCAACCGTCCTAAAAACTGCTTGATCGTCCTATAATTGCCCACTTTCTTCGATATGGCCAACTTGTCATGAAAACTGCCTCTTTTAACTGCTGCCATTACTCTTCATCGTTCAACCGCTTTCGATTGAATTCCTTAAATCGTGGAACGTGATACGGCTGCTCTAAAAACTATTTTGACAACTGCACTTCTTGATAACCACGACGCTTTATGTTTGTTAAGACCTTGGGCGACTTGAAGGTTTGGGCGAGAATAGAGTAACAGCTCTGAGCGACTGTATGACACTCCATTCGCTCAGATTCTAGGCGACTTGCAAACTTGGGCGATGGCGTTACCGCGTTCTTGGGCCTCCTTATTTGGGCCTTCATCTTGATTTGTTCGATTGGACTTCGTTCTTTGGATTATCTGATTTGGGGATCCTCCAATTGGGCTTTACTCCTTGGGCTGTTCGATTTGGACTGAATTTTTCTGTGTCAACACAATGAAAAAAAAAAAAAGAACAAGAAGAAGCGAATCAAATTCCACCACAAGGCATTTATATGAATTCAGTGCTTTTCCTCTCGTTTATATGTTTTAGCCCCACACCAAAGGCGGCCCAAATTGAACACAAGTCTCACTCTTTCAACTTTCATCTCTTCATTCTGCCCCGAAACAACTAGGGAGAATAACCAGACTTCAATTCTACACCACACACAATCCCGGTCGTCTCTTGCGGCAGCCGCCGCCAGCCTCCAGCCCCTACCGGCGTCGCCTATTTCTTTCTGCCGCCAGGTCAGCCGGCAGCCTTAGCATTTGAGGTTAATCATATTGTTTTTATTTCTTTTACTGCCTCGGTATTTTATGTGTGCCTCCGAAACTAGATAATCTTATATCATCAGTATACTCTATACAGTTATAATCGTATTAATTTTTGGATTATTGGAGTAGGAGTAGGATGGCGGTTTTGATTTACAGGCATTAGGTTATTTTGGTTTAAAATTTAGTGTACTTGAGGACGATTTTCCAAATTGGTATTGTGTACTATTTTGCATGCGGCTACAATAGTTTCCAGATTTATTTTCTGGAAACTGTTTTTCGTAGTTTTGTTGAGTAGGTGGATAAAATTCTGTTACAGAAAAAACGTTTCAGTCAGATTTATTTTACATATGTATAGTTATGAAAATTTTGATTAATATTGTTTAGTTCACTGATAAGTAAATTGGCGCCAAATACATACATACATGCTTAATTTGTATGGAGTCTGTGGACATGTGGAAAGGACAAAAAATTGCTCCCCAATTTATATTTTTCACACGGATAGTTCATAATCCCATTCCTTACCTCTCTGGACTGCATGAAGTTTACTACTGCTTTCTGCCTTTGTGTTGGTTTGGGAGGTAATTTTCTGATTTTGCAATTTCCTTTACCGCAATAAGTAATGTATATAATTTTTTCTTCTACGCCTTTTGTTTTTAGCATTCTTCGGTTATTTTATTGCATTACACAGTGGATTGCTATTCTTTATGTTTTCAAATGCATGTATATTTTCTCCATATATCGATGTACAATTTTATATGACATCATCTTGAAACCTAATGCAGGTTGCTTATCTGATGAAGGGAGGAGATAGTATACTGGACACAATTTTTGAAGAGGAGAGTATTGATGATGCCCAAGATGTTGAGATGCATGATGTTGAAGAAGGAGAGTTGATCGAACAGACCACAGAGGCTGAATTAGGAGATAGCTGTGGTACTGACATTGATAAAATTAACCATGACTCTCATAATATGAATCCAAGAAATAAGAAGAAGAAGAAAAAGAAGAACAAGCGAAGGCGATGCAATTCAGGCCCAAATGTTACTGACATTGACAGGTTATCTGTTTTCCTCCGTATATCTTTAAAGAAATAAAAATTGGGTCACGTGTCTTAATTTTTATTACCACTTCATGCATACCGTTATGAGGGTCTTCATTTATTGTGTCTCAATATAGTTGTCCCAGACTAGCTTTGTCTTTTAGATAGCTAACCTCTTGGAATATCTAAGATTTTTGGCTTCTTTATCATGTATATTGGAGAATAATCATCTGATAACCTGGAAATATCATTTATGTGATTGGATCTTGATGGAAGGGTTTCACTATTTTTTTATGAAATTAACATTCAAATGGAAGCATATTTTCTTTGTAATTGAAGGCAAATGTATCCTGCCAATTTGTCGTATAAAATGATGTATCTTTATTGGGAATATTGAAATCGTGTAGAGTTAAGAACTCTTTGCCTTTTTTTGGCTCTTCGAAGTATGGAGTATAAAGTATCTCCAGACTGATTATTGCTTTTCTCACCTGAGGTATTATGTTCATGGCTGGTGACATTCCTCTCTATATTCTTATGTAGGTTTGTTTCAGATGTCTGCAAGCGCTTAAGGGAGAGAAAATCTTATCTTGTGTGGACTGCCGTTGGTTGTCTCGGGGTATCTGCTTTGAGTGATCTTGTCAAAGAGGTACTATTTCCTTTCCTTTTTCTGCGTGTTGTTGTGTAGTACGGTATTGTTGAACCTTCTAATGGCTTGACATTGATGACTGTTGATCTTCATTTGGAATAAGGTTCCTAGTCAACTTGATGTGGACCAGTGCTGTTATAGACCCTGAAAGTTTTGTCCAAGTTAGGATTATTGGAAAGAATGACAATGCTTTCATCATGTAAAGTATTTTGGATGTGTTAAGCAACTGACATGAGGGTTTTGTTTTATTTGTGTAGTCCACAGCATGGATTAATGATGGGGGAAAATAGAGTCATAACAAATGCCAGTGTTCGAATTTTTTTCACCAACCATAAAATATTGTCTTCTGTCATAATTAATCATTTTGTGTTGTTGAATTCACTGAAGTACATCAAAATTTCTTCATGATGGAGTGATGATGTTTGTTTACTCAGAAATCAATCTTTTTCTCTTCACTTGATTATTCAGTTTTAATTTGGATGGTGTATTTTATTAATTTTTATAAAGATCAATCAGTGTATACCTCATGTTTGCACAATCATCTTCTAGAGACTGGTATTTTCTAAGTGGACTGAGGTTATCGTGTGGGTTCCCACTACTTGAAACTTGCATATCTTCCCTAATACTGCTTGATATTGGAAGTAGTAAAATCTATCATCCTTTTTTGTGGTAATATCAAGAAATACTCGTGTGAAAATTCCAATAAAAGGTGAGAGATACTGCACGACTGTGTATGAATCTATTTAAGGATCTGCTGCCTTTCTTAGTTCTGATGACCCACGTTGTTTTCCTTGCACTACAGATACATCTTGCTGAAGCCATTTAATCTGCGAACATTTCATCTGAGATAGCTTCGGGCTGAATCAATTCGTAGTTTCCTATTGTATAGGTTGATTCAAGTGGTTTTCCAACTTCTATCACATGGTATGCTTATAGAATTGCACACGACACAAAAGACTTGTATCATTCCCAGCACCATGCTAAATAAGAAAGAGGAACCATACTGAGAGAAAAAATAAAATAAATAAAAAAAGAAGAAGACAAAAGTCAAGATACCTGTTTATCACCTAGTTGAATTCAAAAACCGGAGAGATTCTATTTGATTGTATCTGTGAGATGGAAGCTTGCGGTTAGATGGTACATTTTGAGTCTGACTTAAAATAGGAAATTAGAGGTGGCCTTGGAGTTTTAAACCATCAGAAAGCTATTGAGATAAATTGATTTGTGTATCTCATTAATCCAATTATTTGATCAATCATATGATAAATTAGATATAATTACTTATTCCATCTGCTAAGGGAGGCAAAATGCTCGATTTACGAGCTCTTTTATTTTGACCATCTCTGCAAGCGGTACTGAGAAATAATGTATTAAGCTTAGCGTTTAGATGTTTATGTGAATTCATATTTTCGAAGTTTATGATACATAATTTTGAAATAAATTTGCTAAATTTGGGTAATTCCTTGTCAAGCTTTCCAAGAATAAGACTGTCATCACTACTCGACCAGCTTCATTTTGCACTTTATGCTCATTTCCTTTGCCATATAATTAATGAGAAATAAATGTGTAGGTAGATGCAATTCAGGCCTGTGGTGGTCAGAAGACTGCTGATGGCAGACGATTTCGAAGTGGAGGTGGCATATTATGGAGTATCATCAAAATGCGTGATCCCAATGCTTACAAAGAGATAATGAAAAAGGGAAGAGAATTTGAGGTGTGTTTGAATCTTCTCTTTTCTTTTTCCTTTTTTTTTTTAAGCTATTTGAAGTGGATCGATTTAGTTGCTTTTGATCCTTCATTTTTTTTCCCCCATTTCCGTAGGCAAAAATGGTGTATATTAAGAGTCATGCTCGAACATAAGAGCATGTTTAAGCTTAAGGAAAGGATTAACTTTTTCCTCTCTAAACATGTTTGATTTGATTCTACTTTTAGTAAAAAAGAAGGGGTTACTTATTTTATTTCGACAGTAATTCTTAAAAGTATAGTTCAAAAGAAAGAAAAAAACGAAAGAGATTGGGTGTTTTATTCAGGAGGTAAGTTTTGCATGCTGGAAGGTAATATGTTACACAGATCTTCATTCCGCTATTCTTTTGTCATTTGTTAACGCATGTTGATTTTCATCAAACTTTGGATTGTGCTTAAAA